TACTTCCACATCAAACGCAATTATTGTAAAGACATTTCCCCAATCCAACACTGTACGTTAATTCAAGGATTTTCAATAAACCGTAAATGAAAATCGCAAGTTTCCTTGGCAATATTGAAAGGAATAATTCTAATTTCGTTTGTTATTCAAACATATTGCACAAATGCATCTCGACTTTAGTTGACATTCAGCGGAATAGCATAGCGGTAAAATAACTCTTAGTTGAAAGTAATAACATTCAACTATTTTCACAAACCCAGGGACTGGTATTCTATTTTCTTTTTCCAGTTTCTCTGTCTCCAATCCTCAGGGCAGAGTGATCTTGCGTTTTCCTAATATCCTTTGGTCTTGTGTATTCCAAGTTACGGCCTGCCTAATGACCGTTTTAATTTCCTATAGAGAAGTAGAACTGATGGAAATTTCAGGATAAAAATATATTTCGAATTTGTATTTGATTTAAACTCGTTTAGAAGATTCAACTGGGGATAAACTTCATTGTCGCTCACAATTTTGACGATGTCGCTGGTAACCAATCAGAATGAACCGACACAATGTAATAAATTCCCATCCACTATTTATTCCAATTGTTGAATTTTAAATATAATAGTGTGTGCATATTCCAATACAGTTAGTTCTCTGATATTTCCCCAAAAACTGTACAAATCACCACGATAGTTTCACATCGATTGAATGGTGATTTATTCCGTGATTGGCTATAAACCATGAAGTACGCATTGATATATTACGAAGTTGACGAACAAATGGGTCCATTAAATTAGATCAAAACAATTCCTTCCAGCATTTCGAAACTTGGATAAAACGGTGGCTCAGACATACCGGAATAAACGTAATAGAAAATCAAAGCTACACATCATTTTGAGATTATTCTGTGTAAATATTATAATTGTTAGTTATTTGTTAAATGACAGTCGAACGATAAATAACGACAATGGAGTTCATAAAATAATCGATAACTATTTTATGTAGTATTCATCATGATCAGTTCAAACTCCTACAGATACTTGTTTATGAAACTGGAAAAATAGCATAGAATACCAGTGCCCGGGTTTGTGAAAATGGTTGAATGTTATTAAGATCATGAAGTACTACGTTTGGAATTTGTCTGTACTTCACTTTAAGTCATTATTCGGTCACCCATTTCATTCTAACTTAAATACTTTCAACTAAGAGTTATTTTACCGCTATGCTATTCCGCTGAATGTCAACTAAAGTCGAGATGCATTTGTGCAATATGTTTGAATAACAAACGAAATTAGAATTATTCCTTTCAATATTGCCAAGGAAACTTGCGATTTTCATTTACGGTTTATTGAAAATCCTTGAATTAACGTACAGTGTTGGATTGGGGAAATGTCTTTACAATAATTGCGTTTGATGTGGAAGTAAATTAATTAGCTGGTTTGTAGTGTAAATAAATTAGTGAGGCAATACTTAATCATTACTGGTTTTTAGTAGTGACGTTATGTTAGTGTGTATAAAAAAGAAGACACACAGAGCATCGATGCATAATACGGCCTTGTAAGGCACAAATACATGTCTGCATATCACTCCATGACAAGGTTAATATTATCAACGAATGTTTTAACGCAGTTTGTAGGTCAATATTGATCGATCGATTAAAAGGCGTCAATGCTTTTTAAACTGAGATCAATTATTCAAAATACATTTCTAGGATTTTACCGCATCGAATTCTTCTTACTCGCTGACTGATTTTAGGATTACTCGTATACATTCCACTGTGAAATCATCTGTACATTCCTATTTAAATCTGTGATCATACCACTAGCTGTTAGTATACAATATTTCTCTAATCATTTGTGTTGAATTTCAGTTCATCATTGGTGGAAATACAGAGACATTTATCACTACCGACATTCAACTTTGAAAGCTTCTCCTTCCTTGTGTACACATGTTCGTAAGACCGCCTGCAGTTCGAACAGCCAGAAATCCTCGTAGACGCCCCCCATCCGCACGTGCTTCTCTGGGTATAGCAGGTCGTCCACTGTTACGACAAGTGGTCAGAAGTCGTCGATCAGATCCAGTCCGTGAAGCATATGTTTTCGAAGTTAGAGAAGGTCCTGTGGTTAACAGCAGCACAAATGCAGGTGCTGCAGTGATGATACCCCAGCCATGGGTTATTGTGCACGATTATTTCAAGGGAAGTAGTTTTGTTAGTCTTCCTGTGTCTATTTGCAGCACACTATTGAAACACCTATTGACATGTTCTATGGCTGATGATGATGAGCACCAGATAGAAAGTTCAGAAGATAGTGAAGTCGAGTGTAGTTCTTCACCTTCGCCTAAAGATAAGGAAGAGGCGAGTTCGACTGAGACACTCGGTGAAGCAGTACCACAAGTTGAAGGTGAGACGGTGACCAAAAAAGCCTCTTCGAGAGTGGGATCTCGGACATTTCAGCTGAGTTTATTGAAACCCATAAGAATAGTATGTGAAGCAACGGGATGTACACTAGAGGTGACAGCACGTAATCCTGTAGCAAAGCACACATCTGTTAATTCAGCAGAACCAACACAAACAGTGCAAGCGGATCTTGACAAACGATGGCTTGTTTCAGCTCCACTGGAAGTTCGGACAAATGTTTCTTCAAGTGTTGAGCAAGCTGTTGATAACAGTGGTATCGGCAGTACCACTAATGGAAGTGGTCGACGTCAGAACTTTTGGGAGAGGCGTGGTACATTGGAATTACATGAGAGATTAATGCCTCAGCTGTTAACATTTCTTGGTAAGTTAGTTATATCTACTGTCTTTTATTCGCTATGCAAATGTAATGTTTGACAGTGATTGATAGTAGGAAAGAGTGATAAGCATAAGTTTACGGAATACTGGTTACGAGTTTCATGAATCCGTTTTTCTTAGTCCAACCATTTTACTAATTCAAACTAGTCCGACCATATATGCTACTGTGCTGTGATGCTCGGACTTGCCTATCGTGACTGGTCCGGTCTCGTGTGCTGGTACAGATATGAGGGCAGATGTCACTCTCCGGCTACCCACACCGTGGAAGGGTGCTTCTTAAGGGACCTGAAAAGGAAGGTCGATTAGTGTTTGTCTTGGAGACCTGAAAGCGTGACCACATAGCCCAAGTGACGACTGCTTGAGATCAGTCGCGCTCGTTCTTTTTAAAGGAGGTCGAAATGTTAGCCCCGCTCTTCAACTAGCCTTACCGCCAGAGACATAAATGCATGAGGTGTGGTTTTAAGCGTTGAACCTTTCTAAGCTCTCCCTTCCTTGTGAGTTTGCGGCATCTCTGAGGATGCTAGTCGTCATAGAGAAACACCTTACTGCTATCACACCCCTTTTCAGTCAGCAGTACGACTTCGCCCTCAGACTTTGGGTTGCTGTTTTTAGTCTGGTGAAATAGAAAATAATGAGGCAAACGCGAATTCTTATATTCAGAACCGACCGGAACCTACTGTTGAACTTGCTGTTCCAGCCAATATAGTTCGGTAAGACCAAAAGCAGCAGTTTAATGTTGGAGGGCGATGTCGTTGTGCTGACTGGGAAGAGGTGTGATAGCAGTAAGGTGTTTCCCTGGGACGAACAGCATCCACAGCGTTGCTGCCTTTTCACAAGGAAGTAAGAGTTTCGAAAAGTTCAACCCTAAAAATGTCAGACCTCAGAGATTTCTGTCTCCGGTGGTAAGGCCTGCAGTTGGAGTGCTTTGTTAATAATGGATTATATCAAACGTTAGATGAATTGTTGTAGTCAATAAGAAACTTTCGATCTAAGCTTCGTATAATGAAGTACCCCGCCTCGGCTGTGTGTACGTGTATTTTCCAAGGAAATGATGTTTGTTGTTAGTTTCGGTCCCTCATCACCCCAGCTTTGTAGTGTGAGAGAGATTGGATCAGCTAGTCAATCTAGTATGGTTTGTTTTCGAAAATTAGGCTTAATTGTAATTATAATTGAGGAAATAGGTTTATTTCAACTGATGTCTGTTCTGAGTTTAGATTCCCTCTACTAACTAAATTCACATGGTTGTGTAAGACAGAAGAAATGAAATAGTGGTTTTGACATGTTATTTCACTGTCAATCAACACTACATCACATGTAGTCTTGTAATGGGGATTATTTTCGACTTGGAAACTGAGAATATTCGTGATGGATTATTTGAATTCACTTTGGTTTTAGTTTCCACTCACTGTAAAACATGTTCATCATGGATGGTTTGTTTATTTACTGTTCGTAATCACTGGATGTAGTTAGTAGATTCTCTACATTGTTGTCGATTGTTGTTTGAAAAATAGTATTTAGAAAGGAAGTACAACTGATACTGCAAGAAACTCATTGATTAATTAGATCGATAATATTCTAATTCATGGTTTCCATTTATCACGTACCGAAATGATATGAAATTAGTAATTTTAGCAATAACTGTTCGGTATTTTGATGTTGGGCACAACATTCACGGTAAATGATGCGAAGCTGTAAGTGTCCAATAATTCATCATTATAGAGCGATGCACACTTCAAATGTAATTGATTGCAGTGATAGGAAAAGGTGGTGGGTGATAAGAAGGATTTTGTTTGAAACTTTAAGCATCATATTTCAGTCAATTGATGCAGCTTGTGCAGTAGTTAATGGAGAATCGTCTTCAATGAAAATTCGAACAAGATTAATAATACAGTTGATGTTTGTTTTATGAGCGCTAAAACAGTGATATATTACACGTGTCGGCTAATCATCAAAAGTAGTTACATGATGTATAGTAGTATTTATTACATAGTTATCAAATCATACACATCTCTATCGTATATTAGATAGTTTCATCTAATTGATTCAGTGATTCCTAGTAACTTTTGTCTACGTAATTAAAGTATGCGGCTTACTGGAATGAATATTTTCTTAATCCCATTGTATATGTTAACAAACTAAACATCTACCACGGACTTGCACACTTAACTGACAATCAGGTATTTAGTAATACTCGTGTGATGTGTTTAAATAATATGTGATAATGCGTGAAAATGCGATTTAGAAGTTTGAAATTAGTTATTAAATGTGAGCTTTATGAATTCAAAGTTGTATTTGACTGAAAATGTGTGTTTTTGATATTTGTAACTGAGCTTCAACTGAAAATCGAATTTACAGTTCACTTTCTTCCATCAATCAAATCTGTTGAGATATTGAGGTGTAACATGCTGTAGAAATAACGAAATTATGTGAATAGTGGAAAAGTAAACTTTTATAAACATTATGTATGGTATGGATGTTTAAGTTTATCATGGATTCGGTGCTGTTTACCATGTTTGAGAACTTCTGTCGTGTATGAGATTATTCTTAATTTGTTCTGTTATTATGCCGTATAATTATAATTACTTAGTCTGTTGTTTTGCTTCCATAAGGATAACAGTAGTATTGTTATTTTGTCGGTTATTATTATTTGAGTCAACAATGAATGATGTTTTCACATGTACAGAAAGATAAGTGGTGGCGATGATGGGTTGATATATATTATCGCTTGCTGAATTAGTTGTGAGAATCATTTTCATTGAAATTTCGCGAGATAATGTTGTTTGAATGCTTTTATCGCTTAACATTTTGAACAACTGGTTCATGATTGATTCACTTACGTGAGACGGAGTCGCCTTTTCTCTCACTGAAACAAAATGAAATTGCATATTTATTGAAGAGAGATCATTGTAGCAGCAGTGATTTCGATATTAGGAGCGTTTTTAAAGTTGCTTAGTGAATATCATCAAGTTGGGGCTGTTACTCATCTAAAGTACTTTAAATGTGGGTTCCAAAGCTTTTATATTAGGGTGAAGTATTTTAAATCCATACTCGAATTATGTATCGTTGAATATTGAATGTTGCCTTTGTTGTGAATAATTTCAGTTTATTTATGCTCGATATGTTGTGTATTTAGTATGTGAACAGTTTAAGTTTGACTTATAAACCACGTGTAATTGATGTTTTGGTTATTTTTGATATTTTACTTTGTAGCCGATGTGGTGACTCGTTATCGAGCAATTGATCTAATTCCGAAAGTGAAATCATTATATAGTATGTCGGGAGAAAGAAGTTTCTTATTCAATTTGAAAGATACTCGATGGGGAAAACGACTTCACATTTCGCAAGTTACAGACCTACATCGTAATATTATCGGTATTCCATTAGAGGATTTGGTCAGTTTCCGTTCAAGGTTAGATACAGTGATACAAAGTTTAGGACTGGAGAACCAATATGCCATACGCTCGTCTATTTATAGAAGCATTGATAATCGGTCAACACATAAGGAACAGTATACACCAGTTCCATCTCACAATGCATCTAATGTGCCAAGCGAATCCGTGGATGGTACAAAAAGAGACGATCAGAATAATCAAATTCATACGAACAATACACGAAATCGTACTAGTCATGGACGTGAAAGACGCTCTTTACGTACAGGTGTATTCGCAGTGAATAATGTGGAAGGCGGACACGTAGGGATATATGAAAATGAGTCTGGATCGCGACAGAACTATGGTAACAGATATGGAAGACGCAGTAATCGGACAAATAGTGGACGTGGACATCAAGTAAAACAAGCAGATAAAAATCAGATACCTTCTAATCGAGATTTAAAAACATCTGATGAAATTAAAAATGATGAAGCAAACACGAATCCTGATACTCAGAACTCACCGGAACCTACTGTTGAAGTGGGTGGAATGACACCTGCAACTGATGCCAGTGCATATGTATGATTTTTGACTGCATAGTAGTTATTATCATATAAGTATTTTGAATATGTTGTCTACAATTATCAGCAGACTATATTGTATTTGTTTCCTCTATATATATATATATAATATGCATTAGAAGATTGTATAGTTGCTATTGCGCTTCGCGTTTGTGTGTTATCTCAAAAAAAAAACCAACAGATGAACTCAATCATATGATTTTAAACTTTCTAATATTTCACGTTGTATTATTGAACCAGTGAATGAGAATGATTGTCCCTTCTTTTTTTGAGTTGGGGGCATATATATTGATGTTTAATAAAGCCAACCAAACTGTTCATTCAATAAAAGAATTATTCCTACATATCCCCCCATGTTTCATCAATTTGCACGTTTTTTGTGAGGAAAAACAAAAATACAATTTTATTGAACTGAGAATTTTTCTTTTTGTTATTGTTTCTTCACAATTGTTATTCGTTCGTAAATTTAAGATTGCGGATAAGTTTTGAGGAGGTAGTCACTTGTCGTTGGTCGGTCTGTAGTAGTTATACGGTTAGTCAGTTGAAACGTAGAACTCCGTAGGTGCGTATATCTGTTCCAGTTGTCATACCACGGTAGCGTGGAGTTGCAATTTTCGATTCAAATCCCATATTGATAGAGGTTAGTGGATGTATGAGCAGTAATTGGACAGATTAGGGTTCAAAGATATTATTCATGAAGTATAATTCAGTGAAATAAATGTAGACGGAGAAAGATGAAGGTGAAGAGAAGTTTAGATTATAATTTGGGAGAATGCAAAGACTAGATGTCTCGGTTGTCCGTAGAAGACCTTGACTTGAGAGAGAAGCTGTCAAATCGCTTTTAAAGCAGCTTCTCATGTTATAAAGTGTAGTAGTTTAAAACAATTGGCACAGAATAGTTTACGCATAAGCTAGATGTGAAAGATAATTTTCCAATTAATGAATCATGAACTGAATAAAACTGAACAAGAGATGGGCTTTCGGATATCAATATACTGTGTGACTAGACGTGTGGCGTTTTAGTATGTTGCTAGGGCTTAAATGTGTTTATTGGTAGAACCACGTGTACGTACACATATCTGTGTGTGAATACTCACTTCGAGCTGGTTTAGAATTGTGCAGTTATTTAGAATGGATGTTGTGTGGGTGGGAAGAAGTGAGTGATTTTATCGCTCAATAATACTTGGACACACTTCAAATCTATAGCTGTGTAAACAAGACAGGAGTAAATATTGGTGTGGTTGCAACTCATGCACATGAAACCGTTTTCATCAACGACCACGGTAATAATCAGATGTGCGAAAGCGAATCAGACTCACAAACAATTTATTGTCTGTCTGCTTCAACATTTTCCAATAGCTGAATGAATATTAGCTGTGAAATGTTGAACATGGTACGTTCATTGATCATTCTGTCGAATTCAGTTTGCAAACACTGAGTAGTTACATTGTTGTAACAGTAAACTTTGATAATTTCACTGTCAGCAAATCGGAATGACACAATCAATTATGCGACCGACCATACATAACGATTATCCATCCATCTATTTTCTGTGTTATTGGAGCTTGCATATTTGTTTAGATATGCGGGGTATCGTGATGATGAAATAAGTTGTTGAACATGTTCTTGATCGATATTATTGACGTATGTGCTAGACATGAGATAAGGTGTGTGTGTGTGTGTGTGTGAATGAGTTAGTGGTGCATCAAGCACTCATTGTTCAATATGTATGCAATACTTGTGATATATTTTGCTTTGTGTGTGATTGATTGAATACTTCATTGAAGAGCATAAATTCCACTGAGCAACTCGTTTGATGCTCGAACATTCACATTGTTTGTATTTGTTACCTAATACGTCGAATGCTATGGAAGTGTGTATTCACAGAACACCTATGTGGATAGTTTCAGAACATCGGATTGAAATGTTCAGTGAGAATCATGCTCTTCGTTGCAGCAGAGTGGAACAAAATGAACTGTAAAATACGAGGTTTTTGCATTTTTATTGAATATTGTTAAATGTTTGGTTATTTTCACACTTACAATATACATCTGACTTTAGTGAAATATTTCACTTAAGCAAAAAAAGAATAACAGAATATAATCCGTTTAAGTGATATATGAACTCTTTTCACAATAAACCATAAAGACAAGTTACTAGATTTCGTGGACTTTTGTCATATGACCACGAAAATAATCAATACCACATAAATCAGTTTGTCATAGAAAAAATGATTATTTCTTCTTCTCAAAACAAATACCTTATTAAACTAGTTTCTCATATCGAGATATATATTTGTTTGCAATACTTCACAACCTGTATATATTGATCTTTCTTATTTTTCATAACTCTCTTGTTTTAAACAGTGAGTACAAATATATATATATTTATATTTATCTAAATTGGATATTACTCATTTAATACAAACTGTGTACTTCATTATTGTATCGATATTATTATTCAGTGTGAATAGTAAGATTCTTGATTTTTCTATATTTCATTGTCAACATAAACTAAACTATGTAAATACGTCTGTATGATATATTGATTAAGGTCACCACGTACTATGCATAGTTCTACT